TGGACACAGAGGAAGGAAACCCAGTCAGCCCAAGTTCTGGCAAGATTTACTCTGTTGGAGGTCCTGGTATAAATGGGCTCTGCAGAAATGAATTTCCTAAACCTCTGGCCCTTTCCTGTCTTCCAGCTGTCGGTCCTTATTTAAAAACATGTAAGAGATGTTCATGTCTGAGGGGTGCGGTGTTTATTTGGGGCAATTTAGAAAACACACACACACACTCTGCAAAGTGTCACTGGAAAAATATGGCATGCAAACACAGACAGGCTATCACTTGCCCCAGAGTCAGCATCACCTGCTTTACACTCAACCTCACTAACCTGGAACAGGCCCTCCTCCCCTGACACCCTTACCTGCCTTTAGACAGATGGCCCCAGCTGTAGGCATGTAGATGTAGGCTTGCCCTGCCTATATTTATGGGTGGGTGGTTACCCTGCCTTTGTTTCCCACCTGGAGTGATTATTAGTCCTTTCTCCATCTCTTCCATGATAGTCTTCCTTGTCAGAGGTAAATCTGGCCCCTAAGGCAACAGCTCACCACACTAGGGAAAGCTATCCCAAAAGACATCTCCTCTCTGCTTCCCCCTCATTTATTTTTCTGTTTCCACTCTTCCCATCCTCTCACACAGTATCAAGTTGCCCCAGCCAAGCTCTTGGTAAGGCACACTGCTGAACTCAAGTAGCCAGCTTAAAAATAACCCGGAAGAAAAAAATAAGGAGTTGCCTAAATCAGGAGACTTGTCCTGTGAAAGGACCTAGGACCTCCACCTTGTTGCTTGCTTCCCTGCTGGATATTGGCATGTGGTAAACCCTGTCTGGTCTTGCACTTCAAACCCCTGTGGGTTGCATTTCAAAACCTGAGAACAAGCTGCTTGCTACTGAATCTACATTTAGACTCATTAAGGAACCTAAGCTTTGTTAACAGTCTAATGCTTATGCGGAATCTTCACAAGGGAAAAGCCTTTCTCCAAGTTTCTGGTAATCCTGCTCTTGGCAGCACAACAGGTGGGATGATGGTCTTTGTCTCAATGGGGTGATGCTCCTTTCCTTACCTCAATTTTCTGCTCTTCTCTCACAGAGGAAAAGTGGTACTGCTTCATTTTGGAAGAGCAGCATTGGTTGCAAAAGCTAGTGGGTGAGTGTGGGGTTGAACTCAATCCTGGGATTGTATGAAATTGATTTCCAGTACAGGAAAAGGGTTTCTGTGTTTTTCTCCTACAACAGGGCCCATTAACTAAGTAGGGGATATATCCCACTTGTGAGGGAGCACAGCACAAATACTGCTCCTAAGGGCTATAAGCCCCAAGTGCCTATGCTAATGGGTCATGTGTTGGCTTGACCAGGTTTACAGGCTGTTGATTGCACGTAAGAATTTAGAGCATGAACAAAAAATTGTCCCATAAATAGACTGTCTGCATTTTAAACTAAATTAGCCCCACAGTGAATAGCCTTCTCTACTGAATTACAGCATGACTGAGCCTGTGTTGGGGATTGAAAGGGATTCATGTGGCTGGTTAAGAGCAACATTATTAAGATTATTATTGGGGGCTGGATCAGTCCCAATAGGAATGCAATTCTTCAGGACCTTTGAGCTACAATTATATGTGACAGAAGAAACCTAAGTAGCTGATGGCAGAGGGTATTTGGCCTTTATGGCCACGTAACTCACATACAAGCAGATAGGGCTTAGGGCTCTGACAGACAGGTTATGGTGAAGCTTGTTGTACTGGTTGAAGATGTTTCTATCTCCAACCACTCACTCCAATAAAAGAGCTGCCAGTAGGGAATTGGTTCCTGAGCCTCAGTTGCTCTGGGTAGAAGCTCAGCACCTCAGGCTGTGGTTTCACACCACAGAGAGTTCAATGACAATAGCAGCCTTAAGGGATTCACACCCTCTTCCTCAGCCTCCTGTCAACTTTTTGCAGACCTTCTGGACTGATTCAGTTTGTTACAGTGAAAAAAAAAAAAGGAAAAAAAAATAAAAAGAGAGGGGAGGATTACCGTCCCCTACAAATTTGAGCAGATCGGTGCCTGAAACTGCTTATAGCCTGGCCAAAGCTCTCCAGCCAGCCGAAGGCATAGGATAGGAACAGCTACCAATTTGAAAAACAGGATCTTACCTTAAACTGCTGCCGCGGGTGTTTTTTCCTGCCTCCCTTTCATTCCTGTGCCCGTAAAGTGGCTTGGCCGCTCGAGCCTGCTTGCAGCCTCTTGGACGATGGGAGCACTTACCCTTGCAGGCAATCTCTTCTGAGTGGACTGTGCCCTGCAAGCGAGGAGACAGAAAGCATGTATTGATATTGGAGTGGAAGCAGCGTGGAAAAGAGTGTTTGGAACAGCATGAAATTTTGCTTATGTTTTCACCTCCAAGTTCATCCCAGCCCGTTTACACGCGGCAGAAAACACTACCTCTTTGTAATGGATGACTACCTACAATTTATTGGAACAGGGCTGTTGCTAAACACACGGAGTAGCGATGTATTAACACATTGTAAAAGGCTGTTTGATCACCATGGGATTCCAGATGAGCTAACAACAGAAAATAAGCCGTGATTCACAAATGACTCATTTCAGCATTTCTCTTTGATGCAGCAGTTCAAGCAAGCCCTGTCTATGCACATTCAAATGAGTTCACTGAATAGTCATTGAGCTCAGCCGTGCCGTGCTTACAAAGTCATTTTTTACAAAGTGTAAGTACAGTTTTTAAGTATAAAAATTGGGCAATTTCTAGCAAGCCGAGCCAATGCGTGACTCCTAGTCATTCCTGCCGACAACTCCTTCCGACGCTTAAAACCTCGACACCACATATTACTTTCCCATTATTCGAGTCCTTCAGATGCGGGGGTCCTGACAGATCACACCCCGTGAGTCGGACATCTCCTTTCAGGTTGAAAATTACAGCAAAGGGTGCGATGTCTCAGTGAGACGCGTTTCCCAAGGGCTCGCCGCGGCAGTCCTGCCTTGCCCTGTCCGTACCCTGCCCGTCTGCCGGCGCTGCCATCCGTCCTCTTCCTCCTCCTCTCCCCGCTCTCCGCTACCGGCCGCGAAACTTTAGCCAGCATTGCCATCCAGTGGCACAGGGGACAAATGACAGCGGAGGCCTTCTTTAGTTTAACCGCTCTACCCGGCGGTGATACGGCTTTACAGGTTGGCCCAAACTTGGGCAGTAACCTGATGGCTGGATGTAGTACATCACTGATTGACGGCTTGGAACATCGCTGTTTAGTACCAGCTTGCTGTTAACTGGGATGCTGCAGAGAAGGCATTGAACATTTAACATAAGCAGAGAATGACATACTAACTGAAAGGTACCTGTCCCATTTCAGAGAATGCCTGCCAGTGGATCCTGCTTATATTTGAAGTTTTGTGTTGTGTTTTTGTTTGTTTCTTTGTTTTCGTTTGGGTTTTGGTTTGGTTTCTTTCCCCCCAGTGTAATTTCTCAGTGTTTTAATAGTCCCATGGAAGCAGTCAGGTCCCAGAAGAAATTGAGAACATGCAGAAGCTTCAGCTAGCTCTCCATCTGGCTGTGTAGTTTTCCACATTGGTGTGGAAACAGCAATGGCAGGACTGGCTGAAGGAAAAGAGTAAGAATCCACCTTTCAAGAGAAAGGTAAGGCAGGAGGGCATTGACAGACATGGTGTGCTCTTAGACCCAATGAAATAGGATGTAAAACACCACAAATTTCATGCTGTACACACAGCAGCATCACTAGAGCTTAGTCCCTGAGCAGGCTGGATATTAAATTGATCAAACTGGTAATGAAAGTGGGAATTGTTCCATCTCAACTGACACAAGGCAGGTGACCTTATTAAAAAATATGCCAGTGTATTTAATGGGGTAGGGCAGTTTCTCGGGGAATTAATGATTAATGTGGCTATAACTCTGGAGATCCCACAGCTAATGCCCCTGGAAAAAGTCTTACTTCCACTATGAGATGGCCCTGCTGAAATTTTTAGAATGGTACTGTATGAATACAAGCACATAAATTCACCATTATTTTATGACAGAGAAGCCAAGTTACTCAAGAACTGCTGCATTTATTAGAAGACATGGTGGCCTCATGCCGGACATAGCAAGTTGGCTATGTAAGAAACCTCAGAGCCTGCTGAGGGATGCAGTGTACCTCTCTGTGGTGTGTTGAGGCTAACCACCGGGAGCGACTCAGATTCCCACACTGTTGAGTTACCACCGAAACAACAGAAGCCACTGCCAAGATACCTGACTTCATGTAATGTCCTGAGCAAGTCCTGACTTGGAGAAACTTTGGCATCTACTGATAACCAACATCCTGGAGCAGGGCAGTGTTTGCAGCAGTCCTGAGTTATGCGTGTGTATATGAAAAGGACCTGAGAGTGAGAAAAGCAATTGTCTGTGCACCCCTGAGAGGGAGCAGGGACTCAGGAGGGTCATAACATCCCTGACTGGTATGCATCCTCAGCATGTGCTGAGGCCTTTGGAAGCGCAAGGGAGGTGGGCAAGAAAACGCAGTGCTTTTCCTGGCACCCTTCCAGCCTCCAACCATTTGCAGACCAGGATCTTGTGAGATGGACATAATTGTTGTGTATCCAAAAATGGTCCTCTGTCATGAACTTGCCCAGTCACTTGAACAGAGCTTACACAGAGATTCAATAAGCAGGGGCCTAGGGATAAAGGTACCATTTTCCTTCTAATTGCTGTAGGTACAGGAAAAAAGAAGCCCTTGTGTACATTCTTTGCAAATGAAAAGTACTAACCAAAACCAGCCTAAATATAGGCTTGGGTTTAGGCCAAGAAGCATTATCAGTGTGAGCAACAGGCAAGAAGTTGTAAGTATTTCTCAAATTGAGAAATTGTACTAAACTGGAAGAAAAGAAACAAACACTTGCAGAATTTTGAGACTGCAAAGTAGAATTGCAGTTGAAATCAGGATCCAGGAATGCTTCAAAAGGAAGGTTCCAGAAAGCACTGTGAAATAACCTATCACAGGACAGAAAACATGCCAGAGCACCAGCTGCCAGGTGTATATGGTAACGGGGGACTCCAGTAAGAAAACCTTGGCCTGGAAGAAGCTGTTTAGCAGGTAGGGACCAGATAAGACAAGGCTGTCTGTAGGAGCTGAGGAATATGATGTTGTACAAGGCAGGAGATTTCCAGTAGTTTTCTAGCCTCTTTACGACTTTCCAGTGACCCAGTATGGGGAGACCAGATTGTCCCAGCTTCAGTAATGCCACAGGGTCTGTCTTCTACCCCATGGGGACTGGTGATTGCAGCCACTCCCCTTCCCGTTAGAGAGCCATAAAAAGTTTTTGTGCAAGCAGTAGAACAAGAGACCAAAACATAAGTGTGAGCCTCCACCCAAAGCAAAAGCAAATAGGAAGGTGCTTGGCAATTTGAAATGTTCAGAAAATGCAATTTGAAAAGCCTCAGTTTGAGGCTTTGTCAAGAAGTAAACCATCACAGATTTATCATTTATTAAATTATTTTTCATTATGCTTAGGATGAATCACAAAAGTATCATACAAATGCTTTTCCTTCTTGAGCGGTCCAGGACTATCCCAAGGTTAACCAAACTGCGATGTTAATGGTAATTAGCAGAGATTATGAGCATATTTCTAAAGTCCTCTTGTTACAGTTGCTGAGTGTAACAGGACCCTCAGCCCAGCTACAGCCAAGTTGTGGTACTGTAAAATAGACCATCATAGGAAAAGGAGCTGGAAAAGACCTAGAAAATTAGCAGGTTTGAACCTGTATGACTTGCAAAGCTGCTGAAAAAGCTAAGCCTAACCTGCTCCCAAAAACCGTAGGCAGGAAAATTCCAGCCTCTCCAGACAATCTAATCCACATTTAACTGTTTATCACTACAAAGCTTCCCTAGTGTCTGATCTTTACCTCTCCTGATGCTATCTAAGATGATTAGTTCTTGTCTTATGCACAGAGAGCAGGGAGAATCAGCTACTCCCTTCCTATTTGCACCATAATTTGCTTCTGTTTTACCTTTTTTACATATTTGAAGACTTTCTGCCTTTTTTTTAATGCTATAATAAACATATATATATTTCTGCCATCCCTGACAGTAGATGGTTCCTAGATCCCTATGGGTTCTCTGCTCATTTTGTAGCTGGAAACAAGTTATATTGTCAGAATAAAGAACATGATAATGCTACATGTTTAGTGTAGGCATTAGAAATAATAACAGTGATCCATATACCTGCACTCTCTGGCATAGCCAGTTACCTGTATCAGCAGGCAGGGCTGTGGTCAGACTTGCTTGGCAGAGCAGGTCACTCCCAACCTGAAAATCCAGTTGCTTTACTCCTCTAGCTGCTAACACACCTGCAGCTGGGAGCAGACCCTTGGCCATGCAGAGACCAGGTTGCAGGGACACTGCCCTGACCTGGCACCACCCTGAGGGTCTGACATCAGCTGCTCCACTTTGCCCACTGAAGGGAACACCTTGGGTTCATGTTCACAAAGTTAGCAAGAGCCCAAATGTTTGCAAAATCCAGTGTGGGCTACCTTTGGACACTTCCCCAGGGCAAATAGTAGTGGCACATGTAAATTTGTACTTTACGCTAATCTGCAATAAGAAAACAGATCTCTCACCATGTGTCAACTACACCAGTGTCAGCTATAAAATCTAGTCATATTTAACAGAAGAAAGCCAGCTTCACCACCACAGCCTGCCTGTCCTCTATTAGGACGTGTTTAATTATGTCTTGCTTTCTCTGCGCAGGAGGATAAATGAGCAGGGAAGAGAATGCCGTGCTGTTGCTCCTGAGCAGCTGATGAGGAATAGTTTGCACAGAGGTGAGTACGTGTCCCTGTTGGTAATTAATTGGAGAAGGGAGCAGTATAGTGCTCTGCTTTGGACCAGTAGCAAGTCTGACTTGCAAAATGCTCTCTGCTAAGAGACTAGGCAGCTTACCTATTCCCAAAACCTTTGTGTCTAAAAGTCTGCTGCAAATGCAGACAAGTAGTGAAGTTCCTGCAGCGTAAGAGACTCTGTATCTAGAGCTTGAGAGCACAGCAAGACAAAGGTGGATGAGATGGTGCATTGTCTGGCCCCTGCTGTTTGTGCAGACAGATGTGCTCACTGACTGTGTACAATTAGATTACTCGATGGTTTTACTGGACCATGTGAGCTGAGGTAGCATTTGCCTTGATGTGTCATTTCATCTCTCCTCCCATTTGCTGCCAGTGCTGCTGCGTTGTGACTGTCCGGTGTCAGTGCATCTGCCTAGGAACTCCTGTTTCAGGTAGGTTTGAATTTTCTTCTCTTTGAATAGTCAGATTATGGCTGGCTGGGAAGTGCAGGAAAGGCAGGGACTGCTTTGAACAGGAAAAAAGGGAGGGCAGAGGAGAGATAGGAATAAATTCTGACTGCTTTTGCACTCAGAGTCTGATTTCGCTTCCCCTGTGGGAATACAGTGCATACTGTACCTTCCAGCTCCCGGTGGGGCACATGAGTAAGGCACATGTTAGAGAAGATTGGTGTTGGGTAGGACTGCTCCAGGGAGAGAGTTTTAGGGAGACCATGCACATTGTATGACATCCCAAACCAGCACAAGACCAAAGAAGTTTCATCTTGGTGCGAGAAGGTGTGTGGGCGGGGGAGATCCTTTACTTGGGCACAAAACAGTGCCTACCTGCACCTCCTAACCAGAAAAACCACACTGAGGCAAAATAGTTTGCTCACAACAGGTTCACTGTGATTTTAACAACGGTGCCAATTCAAATTCAGAGCTTTGCATGAGAGAGTCATGAAACGAAATGTCATGATATAGATTTTTTTGTCCTAACAAGAGACTAGAAAATACCAAGTGACTTCAAATAGACCTGAAATGCATAACATTCATCACTACTGACTGAGGCCAAAGAGGAACTCAAAACCAATGTGCAAAGCCTGTGCATCTTGCCTTTTAATTAGCTAACAAATAAGCTGAAACCAATTACCTATATTTATTAAGGCCAGGAGCAGTTTACTGAGTATTGACTCTATCCTGAAGATAATATCCTCATTGTCTGGAAAGATCTGTTCCTTTTCATCCACAGGGAAGACATTTCAATCCCCAGTCCTACTGGGGAGTGTGTTTTCACTATAGGCGTCACACCAAAATCTCCTGTCATGCTAAAACGAAAATTACTGCAATGCATGTCCAGGGAACAATAGAAAGGAGCAGCACTGGAAATCTGTCAGCAGCAGTTTTAGTTCTGCCAGCACAGATCCCTTTTACACAGCATATTTGTTAAAGTGCCTGGTAAATTCAATCTTATCTTTTTTGTCCAGTAACTCTGTTTTTGCATCCAGAATATGCAGAGGTTCAATACAATCTACAACAAGAGAATCCAGGGGCATCAGGAGGTCTCCTTGCTGGTTGCTGGTGCCATAATATAGTTCAGATGTACATTTAGATTTGGCTGTTCCTTGCATCTGAACTTAGGATGAGTCTATAAAATCAATAACTCACTAATACCTGAGAAAGACTTTTTCCAATAAGGTGGCTCATGTGACTTATACACTATTTATTTGTTTGACTGATTTTGGTTTGTTTGTTGGGTTTTTTGGTTGTTTGGGGTTTTTTTTTGAGGGGGTGGGTAGGTGGCTTTTTTAAAGTTTATTTTGTTTGGTTGGGCTTTTTTGTGATTTTTGCCTATAATTCAAGGCATGGATCTTATTTCACACAGAGCAGCACAAAGTAGAACTATTGCTAAAATAACAAAAACAAAAAACCCCCCCCAAAACCCCAAAGGTTTTAACAGCTTGATCTTCCACAGCAATCATTTACATGTATGTTTTCAGGTTTCTAAACACTAACTGTGCCAGAGAATTGAGGCTCCAGAATTAAGAAGTAGCACCAAGCATGCAGCCTTCTTATCCCCAAGGCTATTAGTACCAAAGGATCATGGTTAATCTGGATTTCTGCAAAGGTGTTGCAGCAATGTCTGTGCAAGGAAAAAAAAACACCCTATCAACAAAAGAGACCAAGGAAAGGTTAAATCTTGCATTGGACTCCTATGAAGACCAGACCCATTTCATTTTCTGTGTGTAGCTTCACTTTTTTGTTGTGGCCCAGGCTAGTAATGCAGTCTTCAATACCTGAGAGAGAACAGTCTCCTTACATACATACATATATGTATATATATGTATATATAATGTATATATTTTAAGATCTTGAAGGTTTTCCTAGCTGTGTAGCAGGTTACAGAGTGCCTAAAGTAGTTTTAAAAAGATCTGAGCAGACAGTTTCAAAGGCATTTAAATGCTTTGAAACATCTCAGCCATTGGTACTTTGGAAAAGCAACCTGTGCTCTCTGCTCCCAACTGAGACTTCCCCAATGAAACCCTGACGCCTGCAGGAATGTTGGCATCTGCCCCCTGCTATTCTCTTTCTACATCTTCCTAACTCCAGCTGAATGGAGGTCTCATGTTAAGACTGTGGCAGAGGGGGAGAAATGGTGTTGCAGCCAGCTGACCCAGTAGGAAGGTGGGAAGACAATGAATTCCCTGGTCTATGGGCTGCACAGAGGACAGCAGGAGGCTGCTGGTCTTATTGTCACCAGCTGTCATGACAATTTGCTTTTCTGAGGTATCAGGCAGGAGAGCGGTGTTTACACCTGGATATAATTCACTGTAACAATCAGATTAGGAAGATGGTGTTTGCTGTGCATTTCTATTCTAAACTTGAACAGTGGTCTCAGCTTAGGAGCAGTGCTCTCCAGATGACTTCTCAGCAGCATCAGGTGAGTCTCTGTTACTCCCTGGGACTTTGCATAGGTCTGCTCCAGCTCCTCAGCTCCATCGGAGCCATTCTCCTTCCGAAGGCACTGGTATCTGTGAAGGAGGTTGCACTGGATCTCCAGCAGGACTGCAGGTATCCCTACCTGTTCCTTCTGACTGCCCAGTGAGGAGTGGCTCACTCAGGACATTTACTGACTGGCATAATCTCAGATCAACTGATTTTGCCTCAGCATTGCTTCACATTGGAGCAAAGGGACATGGTGTTGCAAAAAGTTTACGTGCCCCAAATATGCTGTCTCACAGCAGGAGATTCACATGAACAGACTCACAGCTGAAAGATAGAGACCAAGGATTTCACTTTAGTCAGTCACACCACAAGCTCTCATTGCATAAGCATGTTATACCAGATGCATGCACAGTTCTTAGAAATAAGAATGTCTCATCAGAAAGCCTACGGTTAACTTCAGTGGTTTAAATAACTGCTAACCCAGTTCCTTGTGATGGATGTAAGTCTGGAGCTCATCACAACACACTCGTGACTCTAAGCAGAATCTGTTTGTCAAATTTCAAATTTACAAATTAAGAAAACATTGCTGAAAAAAATGTAATGGCTGTGATATGACTCTACGCAGAGGCAAAAAGGATTTTCTTACTTCTTATATGTGAACGTTGGTGGCTTTACATTAGAAATGAAGAATAGTGAAGACAAGAATATAGAGGTTGTTGTGGTTGTTCTCCATCTTGTATTCTTTGGCTGGAAAATGGTATGTATGGAACTGGTTTTCTGATAATTACCTTCTAGAAATTATATTCATCTAGGATATAAAATAGCAGAAAGGCCACAATAGGTAATATATACTTGATCTAGTAAGTAGTGTAGTTGTCACTGAGACATATTGAAGTAGTATTTATTTCATGTCAGAAGCCTTCCACAATTCGGAAGTGGTGATAACTGATACACTTGGATGGTTTAAAAAAAGTCCTATAAGTAAAAAAATAGAATTATACAAGAGGTAAATATGAGGTTTTCCTGTCACCAGGTGCATGCACAGACATTTTAAGAGCTATATGATACATGCAGGGAGACTGGGAGGAAGCAGTTAAGAACACACCCATAAATTGAATTTGGGGACACCGTGAGATATGTGCCAGCTGCCAAGCCAGTAATTATGCAACATGTCTGTTTAATCTTCAGGGTGCTGTGAAGCAGCTTCCATCTGCAAGTCATTCACTACTTATGCTGCTTCCACATCAATGATGGCTATGTAACTATTGGTATTGAAAGTAAGGGCAGCAGCTGCATAATGGGCATCAGATGGATGCATACATTCTCCAGCAGGAAGCAAACACGGACAGCAAAACAAGCTGTTGGTGGTGTCTGATCAGACCTCTCTGCAATATTTCAAGAGAGACTCTTTTTCTGGACAGTAGTGAATACACTCAGATACTGCTTCTTTGCCATTCCGATTCTCAGTCTTTCACTTCCATTTGTTTTCTACACCGTTAATGCGCATGCACAAAAATATCTTATGAGGCTGAACTTCTCAGTGAGTTCAATTTTCATAGAAGCCTGTAAAGCACCTTATGAAGACAAGGTGTCCTTTTTGAAGGAAAATGCTTTAAAAAATCAGAGAATCTAATTGCACAGAGTACATAACACAGAACCACTACATCACCTGTGCCCTCTCGGCTGAGGAGGCTGTGTTCCTTGTTGCCTACATCATGACACTGCACAAAGAGTTCAAGACCTTCAAGTGGCTCTTCAGGGAGCTGTACATGCCTCAAAATGTCTGTTGTGTCCACATGGATGCCAAGTCACCATTTCTCTTCTGGTGGGTGCTGCAGCACCTGATGGGTTGCTTCGCCAATACCTTTCTCTCCTCCCAGGCAGAAAGGAAGGTCTGTGTCAGCATCTCCCAGCTGCGGGCTGATCTTCACTGCACGAGAGACCTTCTGGCCTTGTCTGTGCCCTGCAGTGGTAGGACAGGGGGAAATGGATTTAAATTTAAAAAGGGTAGGTTTAGACTAGATATAAGGAAGAAATTCTTTACTGTGGTGGTGGTGTGACAAAGGAACAGGCTGCCCAGAGAAGTGGTGAATGGCCCATCCCTGAAAGTGTTCCAGGCCAGGTGGGATGGGACTTTGAACAACCTGGACTAGTGGGAGGTGTCCCTGCCCATAGCAGAGGGGTTGGAACTAGATGATCTTTAACGTCCTTTCCAACCCAAACTATTCTATGATTCTCTGCACATGCATGTACACACATAGAACCACATAACTGAGGCTGATTTGGCAAAGCCTAGACGAAAAATTTAATCAGATCATAACTGATATAAAAGGTTGATCTAACAAATAAGCTTGCTGGCCCGTTTTGAACATGGAGGAAAAGGTGACTGTGCTGTGCAGAATGTGAATTACCATTCCACATCTGAGCAGGAAAATGCCTGGGGATCTAAGTTCAAACAGAAATCCTCAGACATTTAAGCTGATTTAAGCCTCTTACCTATAAAATCTGAGATGATGAAAAGAGAGGTAATAAAGATTAAAATATGTAATCTATATAAACATCATAGTAAAGTTTTTTACCAGATGTTCATTTTTCTGGGAGAAATTTTATTTTTAACAAATTGAAATGAATTCCTCATTCCTTATTATTCCAGCACAAGAAAATCTGAGTTCAGGGTAGAGTCGACTTCTAGTCTTCACATGCTTTTCTATGGGACCAGAAACACGCGCACACACATACCAGCTCTCCTGTAGCAACTGCAAAAACCCCACATTCTCATAACTACTGCCTAAACTCCATTGTACAAGGTTAAGGATTTGTGCAGAGAAACAGAATCAGATCCAGTATTTTCATCTTTACTGTACGTATATACATTTACTTTTACCTTGTTCACACGACTGAGAAAGGGTTGGATGATGCACAGGATTTCACCCCCATGCACGTTACTTTTAGAAGCACCTGGTAAGACTCCACTGCTTCTGACTCCCTAGAGCTTCACAGCAGCCCAAAGTGGGGATACAAGGAATGGAAGCACAGGCAAATTTCTTCTTCTGTCTTTTTCTTTCTTTCCAACCTCTTCCTACTGTAACTTATCACATAACTCTATGAGAATAGTGCTTGCTCTTCTGATAACCATATTTTACAACTAGCATACACAAGAAACACAAATAATTACTGATCAAGATATTCATAGTATAATCATCAGCATGTATTATTTGTAGCTACCTGACTTTTCCTAGAAGCTGGTTGCTGTGATCTTACTACAATTCATTGCCTCAGAAGCAATAAACCTGGGACCAGATATGTTCTCCACAGACAGAAAGCTTTAGGTGGTTGCCATTTGTTGTACTGCACTGTGTAGTTTACATAGGCTGCATATTTCATTATTGTTTCCACAATAATCACCATATGTTTTCCAGTGTTGCACACTGGCAAAACAATTTTTTGAGTTTGTTCTCTTTGCATCAGAAAGATGCAGCATTTCCACAGCATGTATGGTTTTTTCCTCTTCCTTGTTTTCCTTGCCATCACATTAGATTGCCTGGACAAAACTAGCCATTTTGCTCTGACAGATGTGCTCAAGGACTGTGGTTGCCCAGGATTTTGAATCCAAACTTATAAGCCTAACACTCTGTCAGACACTCACCAGAACATATCCAAGTCAGATCCAGATCACTGAGTGACTCTCGGGTGAGAAATCATCCCTCTCAGTGCATGGGGTGTTAGCCTGGGACTCAGTTCCAGGCTCTAACAAAAAAACTTCTATCCAAGTTTGACCAAGACACTTTAACTTTTCAGGCCTATCAAAGGGAGGTAATGGTGTCGGACAGTGGTCCAGCTATTAGAACAAAAAGTTGTAAGCCACCAGGCAAGCAGAGAAGTCATTTAAGGAGCAGTTTGGGTGGATAAGTGTATCATGAAAGAACTAAATCAGAGATATTTGTAGTTTCAGATAGATATGATAATCTCAGTTCAGATAAAAGATAAAAAAACCTGGTCCCCAAATCTTAAAACAGCATACTTACTATCCAAAGTCATGCAATTAAGACCAAGACTTTTTCTTACCCCCTTAAAGGCTAAAGACTTCCAATTTCTATAACAGTCTTAACTTCTCCTTAATACTTGTCTCAGGCCACTTATCTCCCACATCATTCCTGCATGACAGAAATTCTTGAAAGTCACTTTTCAGATAAGAAATAGAATCATGGGGAAATTAAGAGAAAGTATTTTCAAGGTATGTAGGTCTGAAGTGTCTGGCCCTAAATCATTTTCTCCAGGTCTCACAAGAAGCATGTACCACCACAGTGCAGGGTAGCAGCCACATCCCAGGCTAGCAGTATTACCACTGAGCCACCTTTCCCCTCTCTGTTCATATAAAGCAGAAAGTAGGTTCTGATGCCGCTGGGAGAGGTGTGAATCTGCAGTCCCTGGTATTGAGTACCTCAGGGTAACTTTACTGAATTCTCTTCCAAGCTAAAGTCCTGTCCTCACTTCCATACAATAGTGTCACAGCATAGGCATGAGCTGGGATACAGGCAGTCATAGGTGATAATAATCCCCCAGGATATGCACCAATGTGTACATTGACATACACCTATGCTGGTCACTAGCAACTTACACATTGTTCAAGTGGGAAAATTAAGGTCACAAGAAGTAAGAGAACCACTTCTCATTCAGAAATGTCAACACAGTTTTACAAGGAAGATCAGTGCTATTATTCTCCATTCACAAAAGCGGGCAGAAAAGAGTGAAATGATATTCCCAGTGTCTTAAAGCAGACCATGGGAAAAGCCACTACTGAAACGCTGACACCTGACTCCCAGTCTAATGCACTGGATTGAACTGGTTTTTCAGAACAGGCTCACCTGCGGAATAACAGTGTGTGATTGCACTGCTGCTTCTGCTCTCTTTACTAAGAGTGAGAGTACACAGGATGGCTGAGCACTAGAAGCTCTTTGTTGCCAAAATAGACCCGTTTTGGAGTCCCCCTTGACAGCTTCTTGGCAAGTTGGTCTCTGTCCTCTCTGGCCTGTTACAAAGAGACCAGAACTGTTACTGCAGCCTGGGACACATACCCAAGGGATTGTCTCTTACCTGCTTTAATAGGGTATGTGCAGCAGCTACTGCTGTTGTGGTGGGGACAACTTAATCTGTTTTCCAGCATTCCCCTTTCCTATTGCTTTCATTCCCTGACGATAAACGTACGAGATAGCAGGTTCTGGCACGCATCCAGCATCCTTGTTCCTGGATACCACAAAAAAACCCTGCATGAGAACACTCACACCCAGACACACTGATTTTTCCATCTCACCTGAAGCCCAGCATTGATAACTTCATTCCACTATTCATATCTCTGACTCAGATACAGATATGGCAGGAAAGTATGGGAACACACTAGGCTACTGGGGGATCACTTTTCTGAGCCATCTGTCTCAGTTTTGCAGCAATGCAATGAGTATTACCAATCCAAATATAGGAGTCGTTGAGCACTTAGCAATCCCCTCAGGCTATGAGCTGCAAGAGAAAGTTTGCATGTAGCAACTGGCTGCCACAGAAATCACCCACTCACTCCCTGCCCTGTACAAGTGCCCAGGTATGTTCCGGCTACTGAACAAGGCTGCAGATGCATCCTGCCATGCTAGAGCAGCCCTTCTGAGCTTCCATGGAAAGGCAGTAATTGCTCCTACAAGGAGAGCACAGTGGTTAGCAGCTGTGCCAGCCATTAGCCACAGAAATGCACCTGTCTTCCCTGCTCTTGTTCTGGCTGTCACAAAATTCACCTAGACACCTGTGGACAGTATGGTTCCACCTCTGAGATATGCCTTGGTCATTAACACCTCTCCATAGAGATCATGAGTGACACTTGGCAGTCATTTGGTGTAAGGGAAGATGGGAATGCACAGGGAAAGTGCCAGAGCAGAACTGCTTTTATTCCTGGTTTCTGCAAGAAGCCTACAGAATGAGGACCAGCTATGGGCCATCTGCCCTGGAGGGAAAGAGAGTGGAAAAGGAGCACTGTGGCACTGTTGCTCTTGTGCCAGACCAAAAGTGACATTGGGTACATGGCATGCCATCACTGACTGATTTAAAACTAGATGAACTTTTGCATCAGAGTGAATAGGAGGTAATTGATTACTGGAGCGGGTAGCCCACAGAGTCCTGTGCGAGCCCACAAATCCAGACTGTTCTCTGATCTGAATGGGTAGGCACAGAACCACAGGGCAGCAGCTTTCTGTCAAACACAGGCAACTGGGGACATAAGTAGTCTCAACACGGAATCTTTCAGTGAGGGTTTTTTTCTCTTGCTGCTAATCTGACACAGAGGTTGGGAATCCATGGCAGTTGCTTATTGCGTCTGTTTAAATGCAAAGAATCAGACACCTCAGCTCTCTCCAAGCAGGATAAAGGTTGCTAATGTATTCATTACTTTTCTCAGTTATCACAAAGGAACGAAAAAGATGGATAGTTTTGTTTGTAAGTAAGTGGAATGTTAAACCGCTCCTACACTTTGAAAGTATGTCTGCATCATCCTGACGGCAGTTCCTCAGTTAGGAGCTGAATAGTAGATAGAAAAATAGGAAGAGTGGCCTACAGTACGTCTTGGGTAATGGCAGGCATGTGGCAGGTGATTCTGAGAGTCAAACCAGTATGATCTCAAGAGAGATGGGAGTTGTCCTTCACTGCAGTTTGTCTGATGCAGTAGCTTTACTTCCAAACTAGAGCTGTTAGCTCTCAAGGCACAACTTGTTCACATGCCTTGTATGTGGGTGTGAGATAAAAGAGAAATACCAGAAAATTCTGAGTAGCACTGCTAGCATATTAATCAATTACATTAGCCATTTCCTTATTTTTAAGTTTTTACATGGCTATTTACTTGTACAGACAGAGCTGTGGGTTTTTTTCAGACACTTTAGCTTGCACCGAGCTTCTCACCACAACAACTTAATGATTTAAAACCATTTTGGTACCTCTCCATCCCACTGTTGTTTGCAGACATGGGCTCTTGGAACAACCTTCTCCACAATACATACATCATGCACTAATGTGGTTCTGTTCCACCTGGTATAATTGTTAATTTTCCTTAGCTTAGTCCCCACCCTTCAAAAGTCAGACAGAGAGACACAGAAGTTTTTTAATATGATTCCAGACAGTGATGCTAGTAGAATAAGCCACGCTCTAGAAAAAAAAGTATTTTGTACCTATGTCTGCATCATTACTCATATAACTAATCCTCATTCTTTTGTTCATATTCTCCATTATTTTAATGAAACTTCCTGATTGAGCAAGAAGTTCTCATAGGAATAAAGCACTAAAAAAGCAGGGATTTTCCTGTGACTATTATTGAGTCTCATACCCACAAAGCTGTTGCAATCTCATCATCAAAACCTTCCTCTTTTGAAAAACCTGCTCAAGGGAGGGTTTTGCAACACCATCTCAGCAATCACAAAAACACCTTCTTCATGAATTATCTGAAAAATTACTCTTGTCCTTTACCCATCATTCAGATATTATAGTTCATCTGAGAAGATATAACTTAAAATAGGGCTTAGTCTCTATGCAATCCACAGTCATCAAAATTCAAATACTGAAAACGAGCAATACTTTTCTTCACAATCAATTTTTTGCTTCTCACTAAAACAGCACTTAGTGATGATGGGATAAGGAAGGGTATGTCATCAAGAAGTCTTTTTGGAAAGCCATAGTTACTAAATGAACTTGGGCTTCCTCACTTGATTTTCCTTTATCTTTTCAACTATCAGACATTGGTTTAAGAGGCTTCAAAGAGCACAACTCCTTGGAGAACAGAATTTGATGAGACTCATTTAAGGAAAATTTTTTTTTCTTTCTAAATACCAACATCAGGTAGTGTCTGTGATAACTCATGCATGTAACCAACCAAACATTAGTCCAGATGCAGTAATAGAGACTTTTCTTGACATTCCCAGATGCTGAATTGCCAACAGCCCTCATATTTTTTAGGGGGGAACTCCATTTCGGCCACCTGAAACTGTCTCCTGCTTTCATCTACGAGCAAATTCATCTGACCACACCTAAAGCTCTGTTACACATGCTGAGAGACAAACCTTGCTGCCAGCACACTGGGCAGCCAGGGTGGAAATTGGCAGATCCATGCCTGAACAGGTGCTGGGGTGGGCACTGGCAGTTCCTGAAGAGCAGCTCTCCTGTTGGCTGTCCTCAGCACCCAGTGTGTCCCCACAGGTCCGGTTCACTCCCACTGGGGGAAGCAGGTGTTTCCCAAACCTCTCTCTAGAATTCAGCTCCTCTGATACAGGACTGCAACTCTCCCAAAGCACTAGAGTCAGTTTATTGGTCAATATCAGCTCAGAAAGACTACCTCCAAAACATACTAAATGCAGTTCCTAGAACTGAGACCATATCTTTAATATCCGTCAGATGATTCAACACACAAGGTGAAGTTTACCTCTCTTATGACTGTCAACAGGCTTACAGCACAAGCAGGTGACACGCATTGCCTTAATTCAGAGCACTGTGTTTTAAAGAAACTTCTTTCTTTTTCCTGAGTTTAAGTTCCTTCTCTTCAGGTTCTGAGGTCTGCTTTAAAGCTTGACAATCTTAAGCTTATTCTAGTTAAACCTTCACCCCTCCACACACATTTTTGCATTTGCATACCCACTGAAATGAAAATTTATGATGGCAAAATATAAACTTGAGCCTTTATACATTTTTAAGGAGGGGTGTTGGGTTTTGTTTTCTCCATTGTTGCAATTCACCTTGAAAGAAAATCTTTTCTTCTGAGGAGTCCCCCCTGCCTTTACCAGCCACTTCCCTTCCAAGGACAGATGAGACAACTTGTCTTACTGGACAAACAAGAAAACAGACAAACCAGAATTTCAGAGCAAAGTGTTCTTGCATGCTGTCTATGAGCTCAGTCAGACAAATTCTTGTTGCTGTACAGGGTCAAGAGGTGACAGTTTCCATCCTACTCACAATTGCTCATCGGCTTCTCTCCATCTTCTTAAACACTGATGGCTGAACCAGCTTTGGGCAGTGGGGAGACTGCACAGGGATGGGGCCAGGCACAACACCTCGGAGCTGGTCACCCTCCAGATGTGTGCAAGCTACCCCTGTCACATAACCTGATCATCTACCTTGGATTTGTGTACATGGCTGTCACCTGACCCTTTGGGGAGTTTGTGCTCTAGGACCAGCACACCCTCGATCTGCTGCTGTTGTCCAGGGACAACTACAGCCCTGACAAGCACTCTGGGTGATGCTCAACAGGATCCCAGATAGGAAATCAAGTCTGGGTTGAGCAGAGATATCTCCCCGCCTCACCTACTGCCCCAGCACCTGCCACCACTTGGACCTTATGTGGTGGCCACCACGGCTCACCATGGAGGTGTTTCCAGCTGTGGTTCTTGGCAGTGCCCACCAGCACGTTGTTGTCACTCCTGTTGTTTCACACAGAGAAACACCCAGGCTGGTGACAGCCCATTTTGGAAGCACTAGTGGCAAGCAAGGAAGGCATGCTGAGCCTGCTTGATTTTGATGTCTGGGACTTTTATCCACTTGTCTGAGCTGTATTCTCGGGGAAACAGTACCCATGACTGGGCAGGGAGGTCCAAGGGGTGGTGGGTTTTGCAGTGTGATGGGTTCAGGGACATTGCATGCCTTCCTGCTTAGCAGCAGCTACCCTACTCCATGAAGACTCAGGGATGCAGCTTGGCATCCACTTGGCTTCCACTCTCTTTGGCCATACTGTCTCACTAGTACCACGTGTACTTCCTTGTACCATCTTGCTTCTCCAAAACCACTAAAGGGATTTGGGAATTTCCAGTCCCTCACACTCTGGCAGGCTGGATATCTTCACTCAGAATAAGGGCATGCATTTGCCCACCTCAAGCCCTGTATGTTTCCCAAACATAAACACATGGCCCCAAAACCCAGCAAAAGTTACTTGCAGATTAATATTCCCAAGGATGGGAATGTTTCAGGAAGGAAGATTTCTAAAGAACAGAATCCTGTGCACCAGCTTGTAAAGTGCAGGAAAAAAGGTTGGAGCAGTTAGTGGCATAGAAGTGTAAAGAAGTTGCCCCTTTGCCTAGAGAGAAATGCCAAAGTGGAAGCACAGGCTGCTTCAGGGGGCTGGTGGAGATTAGCCCACTGGCAGCTAGGTTTTAACTGATTCATTGATTTGACTCTGGAATCACAGTTATGGGACTTGGAAGGTCAAGGAAAATCAGGCAGCCTTTTATGCTGCAAGATTTCCAGCCTGATGTCGGCTTATATGCGTGTGTAAGAGAAATGTGGATGCAGGGGGTCATTTTGTATAAACTGTCTACGTATACCATCTATGGTATTGGTGTGTGGAGGAAAGGTAGTGGGCTGCCAATGCTTGCAGATCAGCTTGCACTGGAATTGCAATGGCAAAAAACCAGGAAGGGTTTAGAGGAGAAGCAGGATGTGTTGCCTTAATCCTGTGAATGAGGTCCAGGCTCTGAAACAGTGTTTTTCCTACTTCCAAACCTCCATCATTAAGGAAAGACATGAAATGAAAGGCATCTGAGGGGCTGACCTGTCTTCCTTGTTGCTGTCTTCACACCCAAGTAGTGCAGTGATGATGGTGGCTGTTCTTAAGACCCAAAGGCAGCAAACTTGTTTCCAGGGCAGCGCTCAGTATTGTTGCTCATGAGGCAGCTCTCCCTGCTCCTGGTTTTCTGGGATAAAACTCTGCTGAACTCGACGGAATGAGAGATGAGAGATGGACAAAAGTAGAGTGAGCAACATATGCCAAAATTTATTTTAACTTTGATCATCAGCACCACTTCTCAGACAAACTGTATTTATAAGAAGAGGACGCAGAAAAGCTTCTGAACCTAAATTCAGTAATTCAAGCAAATATTTGAAGGAAAATGTTGTAAAATCATTTTTTTTAACCTGTATTGAGCTACACTTCCCCCCACTTTTTAATTAACATACAAAAATGCCTAGTTTGCTCAATTTGGGAGATGTTGAATAGTGTGAAGTAAGTAGTTTTGTATTCCTGGAAGGCAGTGCCTTCCAGTATTTTTGTGAATGTCCTGGGGTAGTTCCTGTTTTGTCAGATATCCTTCTGCTTTGCCATTGTGTCAGCACTTTACAAGACTTTCCACACACCACATTTAGTGCCATCTGTTTTGAACAGGTTTTTAGTTTGGGATTGTAATGCATGTCCCAGGTCATTTAAAGCATTTATCTCCTGCTATCACTGCTGGGTTTTGTCTTTTATAAAGAGCTATCTTTAGCTTAATGCTTTCTGTGAAAAAGTAATATTTTCTGTATTTTCCCCAGGACAAACCCCCACTTTTTGGCTTGTTATTTTATTTGATAAACCCAATATAGAGAGGGGGTGAAATGAAGCAACAAAATTCTGGTTATAGCTGCAGCATACCTCCGTTTATGGCAACAGCCATATTATTTTTTGTTACGCCAGAAACATAAACTCAGGAGAGAGGGGTTTTTTGGATGTTCTGTAGATGCAGCTTGGGTTGGCTTGTCTCACACTGTCTGTAAATTTCACCTTCCACTTAACACTTGGAGGCCAAAATATGAGAGATCCAAAAGGAGACACGAGGGTAAAGCTGCTCTTGCAGCTTTGCATTTTTGTAATTTTTAACGGGCTGTTTTCCACCCACAACTTTTGTCTTGCTACACTGTCATTGCCATCTTTTTCTATAAAGATACTAACACAGCCATGCATCCTTGGAACTTTTTGTGTCTAAAAGACAAATGTGCAGATAAGGTACTGAATAACAGTCAACAAGATCTTAAACACAGGAATACAATTGCTAGGTATAAATACAGATACTGTTTTGTCAAAGATACTGATGTTTACTGCAGAGAACTAAAGGAAAATTACTAGAAATGGAATAAAGGTGCTGCATTTCCCAGATCTTACCTGTTCTTTAAATGTCTGTTGGGACAAGGTTTGCAAGAGAAAACAGCATCTTATAAGAGATTAATGTGTGTGGTTAGTAAAATCAGATAGGATTTTAGGCACAGCAGCTTTTCTCCACATCTTACTCGGATGAGGAGAACTACATATACTTACAACTAATAGAACTGGAAAAAATAAAAAAAAAATTAATTACATGCAGATTTCTGCCTACCAGTGTCCTTAGGTTGTGTAGTGGGTTGACCCTGGCTAGATGTCAGGTACCCACAAAATCCACTGTCCCACTCCCTTCTGCAACTGGACAGAGGACAAAAAATATAACAAAGGGTTCATAAGTTGAGGTAAGGACTGGAAGAGATCCCTTACTGATTACCGTCACTGGCAAGACAGACTCAAAGTGGGGATATTAATTAAATTTATTGCTACCAGAATCAGAGCAGGAGAATGAGAAGTAAAATAAATCTTAAAAACATACTCCCTCACCCCTCCTTCCTTCCCAAGTTCTACCTCCTCCTGGTTAACGGGGGTTACAGTCAGTTGTTTTCTGCTTCTGCTCAGAGAGAGGAGTCCTTCCCCTGCTTCCCATGTGGTTCCTCCCACAGGAAACAGTCCTTTATGAACTTCTCCAGTGGGCAACAGTTCTTCACAAACTGCTGCAACATGGGTCACTCTTCCATGGGGTGCAGTCCTTCAGGCACAGGCTGCTCTGGCATGGGTCCCCGACAGGGCCACAAGTCCTACCAGGAAAACCAACTCCAGCATGGGCTCCTATCTCCAAGGGTCAGCAGGTCCCTGACAGAACCCTGCTCCAGCATGGGCCTCCCATGGGGTCACAGCCTCCTTTGGGCATCTACCTGCTCCTGCACGGGTCTCCTCCACAGATTGTAGGTGGATCTCTGCACCTCTGTGGTCCTCCACGGACTGCACCGGGACTGCTGCTCCACCGTAGTCTTCACCATGGACTGCAGGGGAGCCTCAGCTCTGACACCTGGAGCACCTCCTCCCCCTCTTTCTCCACTGACCTTGGTGTCTGCAGAGTTGTTCACATGTTCTCACTCCTCTCTTCTCTGGCTGCAATTTTCATCTGCCCAATAACTTTTTTTTACTTCTTAAATATGTTATCACAGATATGTTACTATCATTCTTGATTGGCTTGGCCTTGGCCAGAGGCAGGTCCACCCTGGAGCTGGCTGGCATTGGCTCTGCTGGACATGGGGGAAGCTTCCGGCAGTTTCTCACCCCCGCTACCAAAACCTGGCCATGCAAACCCAATACAATTGTCATGTGTAAGGATACAGAGGGAGAAGATGGAAAGTGGGGAAGATAGGTATTTTCAGGGCTGAAAGAGCAGTAACTAAGCTTTGGCAACAACACAGGAATTCTGTGGCATATTTTGATGTGGCATAAGTCTTCTTCCCAAGTTTACTTCCTTTCATTTCATACCGTGGTTAATACAAACACTTAACCTTAGGGTTCGCTTCATCACAGCCCTACTTTTATTTCGCAGTCATAGCCACTAGAGGGAGGTCACACAATGTCTGAGCAGATTTTCCCTTCCAAGTTTACATGAAATACACAAAATTTCAACAGACTAAACAAGCTGCAGAGAAAAAAAGAAAAACAACAAATTAGTGCTTGAGAATATTTTAGGATGGCCAACAGAAGGTAGAAGTTATGCCTATCGGTCATCACATCCTGAAAAACAAAGCAAAGAAGCAAACCTGTGAATGGTTATTCCTGTATTGTGGTTCTATTTACGTAGCATGTTAGCAGCAGTATTGAGTGACCTAGTCAGCTGCATGAAAGCAGTAAAAATTGGGATGCCTGACTCTAAGGAGATTGTGTGCTGCTCTTCTGCCTTTCTTCTGAGCAAGCAGTGATGGCTCGAAGAATACCTCGAGTAATAGCAATTTAACACCAACTTTATTAAAACATCATTAATTTCAGGGTCTTTTAGCAAACTGGAGCAGTTCAGAAACAATAACACATCACATCACATATAGATGTCCTGAAGCATGGCTGGTAACCTGCAGGCAAGGTTCTGAACAGGCAACTGATCTGCCTCAGTCAGCTTATTCTGAGTTTATAGCAGCCAACACTTAATATTGCAGATTCCAGCAGAAAGGCATCAAAACTTTACCTCAAGAGCAGAACTTTGATGGAAAATCTTTTCAGTATTTTGAAGGGGAAAGAAGAGAGCTTTGCTATCTTGCTCTCATGGGGCAGCTGAAGAGAGAAATATTTCACAGAAAGTAATTATTTTAAAAG